CCCCAAAACCCCAAAACCCCAAAACCCCAAAACCCCTAGATTACTACTAGTAATTGAGGGAATAATAAAATTACCTTTAAATATTTTTGACTAAAATGTCCGAAAAGCAACAAGCAGATCCATTCTTCCTAAAGATGATCCTTGGAGGTACGCTAGTTAACATTAGCTGACAGATAAGAGCTGAGATGAATGGGTTAAGAGAGCTAGTTTAGATTTCAAATTTAGCTGACTAGCAACTTTAAGTTAGATTTTTAGTCTCTGCCTAAGCATTTTAGTTGACATCTTTGAATGGCATAAATGTTAACCAAATATAGGAATTGCCTGTATGACTGCAGGAACTGTGACACATCCAGTTGATTTGATAAAGACAAGGATGCAAGCTAGTTATGCTACAGGAGGAGCATCACTTCAAAATTCTTCAATTTCAACTTTGCTGGGTCTGATTAGGAAGGAAGGAGTTGGATCTTTGTACAAAGGACTCTCTGCCACTTTACTAAGAGAGTCTATCTACTCATCACTAAGATTAGGTCTGTACGAACCGTTTAAGCAACTCTTTGGAGCTACTGATAGAGAGCACACTCCATTCTACATCATGATCTTATCAGGGGCATCTTGAGGAATGGTTGCATCGGCTATTTCAAATCCTGCTGACATGATAAAAATTAGGATGCAAGCTTGCGATCAAAAACCTCGTCAGATGAGATGCCATATCAAAGAAATTTACAGCCATAATGGAATTAGAGGATTTTACAGAGGAGTAGAGGCAACAATGTCTAGAGCAGTAGTAGTAAATGCAACCCAGCTGCCAGCTTATGACTTCACCAAGCACAAGCTGATTAATCATGGGATTATGGAAGACAACCATTTGTGACATTTAGTTAGCTCAATCACAGCTGGTGTAATTTTGACCCTGGTCTCTGGCCCATTTGACCTTGCTAGAACCAGGATGATGAACCAACCTGCTAAGAAGATTTACAATTCGATGTTTGATTGCTTGATGAAATCAATACAAAGAGATGGGTTTATCAGCCTTTACAAAGGCTTTACTCCACAATGGATGAGGTTTGGACCATTTACCATAGTCCAGCTATTAGTATGGGAGCATCTCAGAAGAATTTTTGGCATGAGAACCATTTAGAGTTAAAAATTTGATTAAAACACTTCAATATCAAGCAAGATTTAAGGGGTTTTGGGGTTTTGGGGTTTTGGGG